AAATCGTCGGTTCAACCGTAATTTCAATTAATACAACAAGGGAAAGCACTAAAGACCGAAATAATACTATTGGACAAGTTTGTATAGTCACAAGCCACGGTCACAAGCACGGAACTTTGAGATTTTTCGACTGCCTGACGTTTAGTCCCAGAACTAAACGTCAGGCAGTCTACTTTTTTGTGAAAAGTCGTCGGAACAACTGTAATTTCAATTAATAGCACAAGAGAAATGGAATAAAGACCGAAATAAGGGTCTAGTCAAAAGTTAGCAGGGGGAGGGGAGGTGGAAATTGAAAAGTGGGTACTGGGAATAGGGTGACCAATCATAGTGGGGAAGTGAAATTTTCCAACCCTACTGATATTAGACAGGCAAAATATCGTGACCTTCCCCGTCCCCCATCAACCACCAGAAAAATTTTTCATTGTGCACAATTAGCATCCAGTGAATCAGTGGTGCAGGGCCTATAATTGAACCATTCTTTCTTCATTTTCAAGGGATAAGGATTAGGATATTTGATAGGCAGTTGATTAGGACATTTGATTCATCTATTCTAAGTATTGCTTACTTTATACATTTGATTTACTTTGTTTTGTCTTATTGTTGTTGTGGCTATTGAACCAAAATAAAACACTTTCTTTATCTATTTATACTCTGAACCAATTATTATTATTATTAACTGCCTATCAAATATCCTAATAATTATCGCTTCATTCAAAATGAAGAAACAATGGTCTAATTATAGTTCCTGCACTATCTTTCACTGGCTGCTTGGGGGCAATGATAAATTGTTGYKGTAATGGTTGAAGGGKGATGGTCTGATACAGAGAGGGTTAGTAAATTTCACTTCATCCACAACTCTAGTATGTCATCACCTTATTCTCAGTACCCAGTTTTCAATTTCTACCTCCCCTTCTCACTGCTAATTTCTAACAAGACCCTTATTTCGGTCTTTATTCCATTTCTCTTGTGCTATTAAGACTTTTCACACAAAAAATCGACTGCCTGACGTTTAGTTCTGGGACTAAACGTCAGGCACTCGAAAAATCTCCAAATGCCGTGCTTCCTGCGTTTGAAACTTGTCGAACAGTATTATTTCGGACTTTAGTGCACTTCGCTTGTTGTATTAATTGAAATTACTTTTATTCCGACGATTTTTCACAAAAAGAATTTGCTGCCTGATGTTTAGTTCTGGGACTAAACGTCAGGCAGTCACCCGGGCAGTCAAAAAATCTCAAAGTGCCTTGCTTGTGACTATACAAACTTGTCGAACAGTATTATTTCGGTCTTTATTGCATTTTCTTTGTTGTATTAATTGAAATTACGGTTGTTCCGACGATTTTATAAGAAAAAATTAGACTGCCTGACGTTTAGTCCTGGGACTAAACGTCAGGCTGCCTGACGTTTAGACACTCCGATAAAAATTTGGACTGATTAAATCATTCTTTATTTGATAAGAGCAATTTTATTTAATCAGTAAAATGAAAACTAAATGCTTACTACTTGATAGTTCATATTAGTCACTATTTTTAAGACAAATGTAAGTTCTAAAGGCCGATTTAGACGGTACAACTTTTGCCTACAACTATCGCATGCAACATGCGTAAGTCATCCTTACAACATGGCTGCAACTGTCAATGCAACCATTTGTCAATTGGTGCTATTGAATTTTCATTGCGCGCACATGAAACAACGTTCCACCCAAATGATTGTCCAGTCGTTCAGTTGATTGTCTATTGATACTGTTGAATGCTCGCACGTATTTGAATATCCTATTGAAAGTCGTTTCGCGCCAATGATGTTGCTTAYGGTGYTSAAGAAAGTACAATAAAAGTTATTGAAGCAACGCTTGGCACAAATGAATGTACGTTTTACGCTAATGAACAGCAAAAGGTGTACATGTATTGTCGGTCTTTTATTTGTTTGTTTGTTCGTTTTTTTCTTAACAAATACTAGCTAGTTGAACGAAAGAAACCGAATCTCTTTGGAACAACGAGAAAGAATTATTAGAGCCTTCGAAGATGTTAACGAAGATTATCTGGCAGTTGYCACTACTATAGGAGTAAACCGATCCACGGCAAGAAGTATCGTTGCAAGATACGTGAGAGAAGGGAGGATTGCAGAAAGACCTCGGRGAGGTGCAAATAACGTCCGCGTAGATGATGAAATGAGGGATTGCCTTAATGACATTTTAAACGATCAAACTGCCTACTCACATTGAAACCAGATAAATCAAGAAAGAGGCAGCGGTTACCAAGAAAACCACAAATCCATGACCACACAGCAAAAAGAAAAGAAAAGAAAAGAAAAGAAAAGAAAAGAAA